AGATGTTTCTGAGATGTATGTCATGGAGTGTTTTGCCTATGTTTTCTTCTATATATTGTATGGTTTCAAACCTTACATTCAGGTCTTTTATCCATTTTTGAGTTGATCTTTGTGTATGGTGTGAGGTTAGTAGTCAAGTTTCATTCTTTTGCAAGTAGCAGTACAGTCTTCCCAGCACCATTTATTTATGAGACCATCCTTGTTCCAGTGCATATTCTTTGCTCCTTTGTTATAGATTAGCTGTCCATATATGTCCATACATATTAGTTGTCCATATATGTATGGCTTTATGTCTGGGATTTTAGTTTGGTTCCATTGGTCTGTGTGTCTGTTTTTATTCCAGTACCATCCTGTTTTAATTATTGTGACTTTGTAGTACAGTTTGAAGTCTGGGAGTGTAGTACCTCCATTTTTCCTTTTTCTAGTCAGCACTTTGGCTATTTCAGGTTTTTTGTAGTTCCATATGAATTTTGTCAATATTTGTTGTATTTCTTTTAAGAATGCCATTGAGGTTTTTTTGGAATTGCATTGAATCTGCAAATTGCATTTGGTAGAGTAGTCATTCTGATAATGTTAATTCTGCCCATCCATGAGCAGGGAATGTCTTTCCATTTCTTTGGATCTTCTATTTCTTTTATCAATGTTTTATAGTTTTCTTTGTGTAGGCTTTTCACTTCCTTTGTGAGATATATCCCAGGTATTTAATTTTTTTGGTACAGTTGTGAATGAGATGGTTTTCTTGATTTGTTCTTCAGATATGTTGTTTGTATGTAGAAAGGCTACTGAAGTAAATCACTAATTCTAATCAACCTTCATGATCGCTTGGGGGATATAGAATTAAGCCCCACCCCTTGGGAAGGGAAAGTATCTACATATATTATTGGGAATTTTTCTGTAAGGCAATTTGATTCTTCTTTACTGTGTATTTAACCATTTATTTATATTACTGTGGACTCGTGTATTTATTTTGTACTTTGAGTTATAGCCCAATATTCTTGTTTTTGTTTCCCAAATTATTCTAGCTTTGGCCAGAGGGAACTCTTTCTGGTGGCTCCTATATCCCTGTGCCCTTGTCCTTTTGTTTTTTAGTACCTCATTGCTTTCTGCCACTAGAAGATGTTGCCTCTCATATTTTCCATCCCTTAGCCTGAGAATCAGCCATTAACCCTAGGAGCCCTTACTCATTTTATTGAAGGATGTTAGGAACCACTGGACATTGGGTATGTTCATTTCTACCGGAATGTCTTTACTTCTAGGCCCTCTCTGCAGACAGTACTGGGTAATATCGTGTGCATACTAACCCTTGTATACGTTACTTCATCTACATGTATTAACATAAACATGAGTTTCTATTGATGTCTTTGACTTTAATCTTAGCTCAGGGTTCATTCTAGATTGCCTGCCTTTCTTGCTTATCTGAAATATCCTTTGGCAGTGAGACCTTGTTCCCACCATTCACTGTCCATTTATTTATTTGTTCAACCCCTCTATACCTTTGCCTGTGCTGTCCATGTATTATAACCCACAAGAAAAATTTTACCACTTGGAATATTGTGGTGATTTTTAACAGTTCTGTTTTAATGGACAAATCATGGGTGCTTGTTGTGTTTATTATCTTGTGATTTGACCTGTAATACTAGCTTTTAGGTATATACATGTTTTAATATCCATACAGTAACCTGAGATCTCTTGGTATGTCATCATGATTCATTACAATTATGTACTTGGACTCAAGTAAAATATTTTCTTATACTCTGTTTCATGATAGTCTACATATAAATAAAACCACAGCTACATTCTCTCTTTAGTAATTATACTCTTGTGCAAAAGGAAGTTTATCCTTATTAAAGGCTTTGCCATATGTAAAGGGAAATAGTTGAATGAAATATTTATAGTATCTTCTAGCTTGAAAGTTATGGCTCAAGAGCTTCTAAAAGAAGATCACCTGAAAGCCAGACAGTCTAATAAATTTTTCCAGTTGCTTACTAAGTCTTGACTTTATGAGCTTGGCCCTTGGTTCTAGTTTCCTAGCTACTTTTTTGTAGGCCATCTTATTCGCCCATTCTTAGGGTGCCAAAGATCATGTTTATTGCCTAGGAAATAAGATCAACTTAACTAAGCTTTAGTTCCCTGGTACTTACTTATGTTCCAATGATCCTATTGGGGAGAAGCACACATGAGTTTAGAAGCTATACTATGAGTTGAGAGTTCTCAGTTGTCATCTAGGTCAGCTTTGAAAGTCTGACTTTGGGCCCATTACTTCCTCCCCACCTCAGAACATTTACCTAGAAAGTGAAGCAGGGTTCCATGGCATGACTCCAAAGATTCCTTACAGCTATGATTTTATCACAGATAGTAAGATATCTGGCTTGCAATTCAGATCTATGTAATCAAGACATTCTGGCAACAGTTGCAAATGATCAATCTTTGTGAAACAAACTTAGCAGGGCCTTCAGCCTTTTCTGTTTTATTAAACACACATGTGCAATGTGCATGTGTGCGCACGCACACACACAGTGCACAAGAGTAATACATTTTGGAGTATGTGGTCTAGTGGGTAGTATTTAGATAGCTCAGATTGTATCAAAGGATACTTTGTTCATAGTGACCCATCATGGTGATACCTTTGGAGGAACAGAACTGGAGTGGTTATTATTGGTGTTTTTGAATCAGTGGCTTCTTAAATGATCTTCCTTTTATAGCTACTGTGTAAGATTTATGAACAATACAGAAATTAGCCAAGGTAAAGAGAGTATGGTAACTAAAGTATGATAAATCCAGTGAATTATGTTAAAGAAGCTTTAGTTCTGAAAGCTGGGGACTGGGAGGATGTATTCTTTTATGTTGACAGTAGTCTTCAAAAGACTGTCCTTTCTCATAAGCATTAAGCTTCCTGAGCTAAGAGAATGAAGCATATGTCCTGTAGCTGAATATCCTAAATATATCATTTACTTAAAAAAGAACTATGGAGGGGGCCTCCCCAGTGGCGCAGCGGTTGAGCACTGGGTTGCGAAGCTGCCCGCGGCCTCTGCGGTGCCGGTTCGATCCCCAGCTGCTCCCCGGCCACCGGAGGAGGGTCCCACATGGCGCGCAGACCCCTCCTGCCTCCCGCTGCTCCCCTCAGCAGTGTACGTCGGTCCTTCTGCCTGTTCTGCTCCCCGCTCTGGCTCTGGTGAACAAACAAATAAAAAAATAAACATGCCTCTTTAAAAAATAAATAAATAAATAAATAAATAAATAAATAAATAAATAAATAAATAAAAGAACTATGGAAAGCAGGTTGCTACAACTACAAGAAGCAGTATTGGGAAAACAGTGAAGTAATGTTGCCCTTGGTTGGAAAGCTAGGGTAGGAGGGCATGGAATAAGCCTCCCTCAGGCTGCCAGCCACTGAATTGTTCTTTAAGGCCCATATCATATTGGTTTACTAGATTGACTTAGAATCTTGAATGAAAGTCTTCTGACCACTGTTTCTGATATGGTCCCAGATTTCTAAGTGAAGCTGAATGTTGCGTATCTTGGCTTACACATTAAATGAATAGGCTGAACTTTTATGATACTAGTTTACTTGAGGATTCACATTTGCTTTAACGATAAGAGTGTCTGGAAAGGATGCCAATTCCTGTGAGTCACGCTAATGTTGCTAAGTAGCTTTAACTTCCTCTCCTCAAGAGGTGAAAAGAATTGCTGATTTCGGAAGTGAACAGCAGATGTCACTGTATCTCCACTTACTAGAGTTCTAGCTCATAACTGTGAATCTTAACATCTCCCAAGCCACTGAACTTAAACTGAGTATTTATGGCTGTATGACTCTGTAAGCCTTAGACTCCCAACCCAACTTGAAAAGCCCAAGATGGTTTTCCGCATCTTTTTTCACTATCCTTTTTAGTCTGTTTGGTATAGATTTATATATTGCTAGTATCTATATTTCCATGCAGCTGACTGGTGACATTTTTCCAGTCAGCCTTTCAGCTATTATTTGTTTTCAGCAGGGTCAAAACACAAGAGCTTCTAGGCCTTTTTTTCTGCTGTTTAACTTTTGAAAACTTTCCGGTAGGAAGAAGCCATTGCTCTCTGAATTGAGGTGCTAATCCTCAAAGGAAATCACCACTTTCTTGTTCTATTTGAATTCGTAGCTTTAGCAGTTGAGGAAATAAAGAACTGAATTATGACCAAAAGACCTCTTCTGCATCTTTCAAAACAAGTCTGTTATGGTTTATTGTAGATAATAGGGTTTCCCTGTATGACAGAAAGGTAACAACTTTTCACTGGTGTCATATTGGATCATTTTTAAAAGTCTGAAGTGTACTAAATCTTTGGTAGCTTTTGATCATATAGATCATGAAAATAGCCAGGATGACATCTGTCCTAACTGGTCAGGGTTAGTGCTGGCTTATACCTGTGTCCTGGTGTGATTATTAATCACCCCCTTTTTTACTCCTAGTTTGTTAGGCTGCACAATATATAGTCACTCTAAATTGCCAAAAAAAGGGTGAGGGGTGGCTGATAAGTTGCAAGTCTAGTAATTACTAATATTTTTTTTGTCACACAAACTATGCCTGCCCTGAGTTTTTGGAGTTAAATAAATAACATACGTGTAAAATAAAACAAAAATCAAAAAGAGCTTATAATTTTGGGGAAATAACCTTTAGGTTTCTGTTGCTAATCATTTTCTGAAGTAATGATTTCCAACTGTGGCCGTGCATCTTCATATATTAACTACATCAGCATTGACTTGTGACCTTTTTACTAATAGTTTTATGGATCTCACCACAGACCTTTAACTAAATGTGTACTAGTTTGAACTAACATTACAAGAAATAGAGACCTGCATGCATTTCAAATGTGTACTAGATTACGTTGTCACAACCTATTAAAACTAGTATTTAGATGAACATTTCTACTTATGGTTGGGTAGTGTGTTTGGAGTTCTGGGTGGTGACTGCCTTAGGCCTTGAGGGTGTGCCTGACACTGACTTGCATTGCCTTTTTTGTTTCAGATGTCATCTGGGTGATTCTCAGTGTGGAGGTGGGTGGACTTTTAGGAGTAACGCAGCAGCTGTCATCCTTTGAAACGGAGTTCAACACACAGCCACATCGCAAGGTAGAAGGAAACTTCAACCCGTTTGCCTCTCCCCAAAAGAACCGACAATCAGATGAAAACAACTTAAAAGACCCTGGGGGTTCCGAGTTCGACTCGATCAGCAAAAATACATGGGCTCCTGCTCCTGACCAAACCGAGCAAGATGAGAATAGACTCTCACAGAACTCTGTAAATCTGTCCCCCAGCAGTCACGCAAACAACTTATCAGTAGTGACTTACAGTAAGGTAGGTGCCCTCGGAGAAGAGGAGAAGGGGTAGGTGGTGGGCCTTGGGATTTGTGATACCCCTTATGGCAAACCTAGAAGCCTAGAATGTTCTTTAAAACTGCTTAGCTTTCCTGCCAACAGCAACAACACAAAAACCTACCCCTTCTCCCCTCCCCCCTCCCCCAATCTTTGTGTCCTGTGGATATTACTTCATCCACATTTATAATTTACTACTGTCTCTCTGCTCTGGTTTGGGTGTTGAAAGAACAAAATATTCTTTACCTTTAATATTTAAAGTCAAAATATCACCAGCCATGCTTCCAGGGTAAATGTATACTAAGCTTAGAGCAACAGCAATACACCTTTGGAATTTGTTTCTACTTTTGTTTTGTTTTGGGTGGGGTTTTTTGTTTGTTTTTCTGAGGAAAAAGACAAGCTCAGTGTTCATGGGCTTTCACTTTATTTAGCTTGTGTGCATGTTTTCTTGTGGATGTCTTTTCAGTCTGTTGTGGCCCAACTTACTACTCACCTGCAACCCACAGTGGCCCAAGTGATATTTTGACTTTTCTCAGGTAGGGAATAAGTGAGAGAATTGTTTGTTTAGATAAGCATGATTTTAAATATTCTGATTGTTCTGAGACACTCTTACTAGGTGCTTGATCTCTTGATCTGTTTCTCTCTGTGCTGGCTAACTAAACAGCATCTTTCTAACTCTGCTAAGGTGCTGATGGCTCTGTGTGGTTGGTGTTGGTTGTCTGAATATAGTCCTGATGCTGAGAGCTCACTGTTGTAAGGTGGTTCATGTGGCAGGGACCTGTGAGCATTCCCATGCATTAATAATGTGTATTAGCCCAGCATTCCCCCAAACAATCATGTACCTGATGATTGTGTCCTTGCTTTGTGTTGGCTTTTCCCCTCAAAAGTTTAAAAATAAAGTTCACACTTATTTGAGGGATATAAGTTGCTTTGATGTAAGAATGCTTTTTTTCTGATCAGTGCTTTATATGTGGTCTAGATCAAGAGGTAGATTAAGAATCCTGGTGATGTGAATCGTTTTTCTCCACATAGTCACTAGTGAGAGGGCGTACATGCAGTAGTATTGTAACAAGTTTGATTACTGCTTGGTCACTTTAGAGACTCTCTGAACCTATTCAGGTGAACAGAATGTAAGAGCAGTAAATTGGCAAGGTAGTAAGTTGCCCGTATTTGAGGAAAAACTTCACATCTTAACAGTCTAATAAAAGTTTCATACAGGTTTCTACAGCTCCAGATTTTTCTTCATTAAATTTAAACCTCCAGAGTATGACTGCTCGGGGGGGAGGGGAGGGTAAGTGAGCCAGGTCCTAGACTTAGCTACCTATTAAAATGGGAACTTGGAGCAGTTGAGCTTAATGGGATGATGAGAGTTAGAGAAGACAAAGCCAGTTGCTCTAGTGCTTTCTCCAGTGGAAGCCCCTCCATCCTGCTGAGCCAGTTGGCACATCCATCACTTAGGAGTCTTAGGAGAGGGCTGGTGTTCCTGGCCAGAACACTGCACTCATCTTTCTAAAATTGTAAGCCTGTTAGCTGTTTTCTGCTCCTTTAGAATGTTAAGGACTGATGGCCTGACCGGGGGTGGAGGGGGAGGGTGTCAGAATGATACCATGACGGGGTGGGTGGGTTGGTTGGTTGGTTGCTTGTTTTAAAGATTGGCTTATGGTGAGGCTAGTAAAGTATTTTTTTAAGTGGATGAACTCATGGTGTGTTACTTAATATTTTTCATGAACTGTAGGATCATTTAGAAGTAGCATCACAAGAACCACAGAGAAAAGGTTTCTTTGGAGATGATATCTAAGGAAACTGTTGACTATAATGCAGTGAGATGTGGAACTGAGGATCGCAAAGAGAAGTTGGAGCCTCTCTTTTTTTCTCTAAGCAGAATCTTATTCAGAAAGCACTTATGTGAGTGCTTCCATTCAGCAAGATCTCTGAGAGCATTTCTGGCTAAGGTTGAGTCAGCTCTACCTTTTAGGGTTCCTTAGGAATAGGGTTAGAGTGTAGACAGTCATCAGTAAATATTAAATATACCTGTTAGAAAACATGAAGTGCATAACTTGTGTATAATGACTGGGGAGTTGAGAGATAGAGAAGGCAGTTGACAGAAAAGGCTTTTCAAAGAATGGGCCCAATTTTAAAGACAGGAAGGAGCGTGATATGAGTACAGTTTAAGTGCTGAGGGTAGAATGAGTACGGGACAAGTCAAGAGATGTGGGTGGTGGGCAGTGGGCCGTGGATTCGGTTGGTTGCAGTGTGTTCCTTTGAGGAGCAGAGGATGAAATAATTCCAAATGACTTTGAAAAGAATTGGGACTGTACTTGAACATGTATCTTAAAGAAGAAATATATAACTACTTCACGTATATCATTTCACAGCCAGTGAAAAACAGAGCTGGAGTTCAAATCCAGGTACCATGTTACTGAGAGACATTTCTTAGTAGCAGAACCCGGGCTTTCTTTAGGTCCTCCTATTGGACTAGAGGCTGTGTTGCGAGTGGAGAGCATTAACTGAGTTGATGACCAGTAGCATCAAATATTAAGATAAATGACTGTATAAACTGAGGATTGTCAGTGACATCTTCTTTCTAACAAGTTCCCTATTGAGTTTTTAATAACTTCTTTTCCTGCTTGATAAAATTAAAACTACTTTTATAATAACCAGAGCATTTTAAATAAGTAACACCCTTTCCTTTATGAATGAATGGAAAGGATGAAGGACACCCCTGGGGCTTTAGAGTTGGGGCAAGTGTTTTCACTTCACCCCAGATGCCATCTTTATTGGGTAGGTAGGAGGAGTGCCTGATGTCCTTGTGTCAGGGATCACTGAGTTGGCAGTAGATTTGATTTACTTTAAAGAAATCCTCTGCCTGCCATCAAGGCTGCGAAAGAACATGATGCTCTTAGAAGACCATGTCACAGTTTTAGTAGGCACATAGTTTCCTGCTGTCTTCATAGTTACAGTTTAACTTGCTATGGTTGGTAGGATGAAATGAAAAGATTGCTTCGTGCACCTGCCCTATTAGGCTAAGTGGACATGTCAACATAATGGCACATCTGTCAGTGCCAGGAACGGGACATCCCTGGAACCCTCCCCAGCTGTCCATGAATACCATCAGTTCTCTGGACCCAGTGCTCTATGCCCAGAGAAAGCTCTGGATTGGAAGGCCTGCTCCAGCCACATCATACAGCCCACGAGACCTGACACCACCCTGGGTGAGAACCATCAGAGGGAGCCAGTAAGTCTTATGCTGACCTGCTACAAAAATTCATAAATCTGATTCCTTGATTTTGTTAGAAATTGGCTTCATTGGCAGTTCAGTTATGCCGCTGTGTCCCAGGTGAACCATCAGATCACGTACTGGTGAAGGTTACATGCTGTTTTAATGAGCCCCTTTTGTGTGATTAGCTCAAGAGCCTCTGAGAACAGTCACAGTAGGAGAGATGCTCACTCTGTTGACTCAAAGCTAGTTTTGCCATGAAATCTAGCTCTCCAACTCATCTCTGGAGGTCAGGATAGCACTTGTTTGGACAGTGTGAGATTAGTGAAAAACAGTTTACAGAGGTGTGGAAGGAGAAAGTAAGTGCTGTTAAAATTAAAATGTCAGTAATTGTTTTAGCCTTGAAGTGTTTTCTGGAAGGACTTACAGAGAAGTAGGACCTGTTAAATCATCTGATTCAGGACAGCTGGGAATGAGAATATGGCTGGCGAAATCTAAGCAGCGTTCTTCAGTACAGCCAAGCGCTTTGCGTCCTTTCTCCAAAAGAGTGATAATTTACCCTGGGAGAGCTGAAAAAACAAATACATTTATTTTTTTGCTTGAACTATAGCTCTTATTTTGTGTTTGTTCTTTAAACAAAAAAATGTTTGGAGCTGGTATATGTCATATAGTCCTCCCTTAAACTGAATTACAGTCTGAGCCACTATTATTACTTCCACCAGGCGCTGGTTCAGAAGAAGCAGCTTGTTATTATCTTTGTGGGGAGGTTCATCGCACTCCTCCAGCATCAGCCACTGCCAAGTGCCATCTGCCCTGCCTGCCCACATCCCCACCTGCTCCTCTTCCTCTCTCTCTGATGGCTACCCTTGAATACCTTTTGGATCTGGAGTTAGCAAGAATCATTCTGCTTTTATTGTATCACAAGTCAGTTCTCTTCTAACCTGCTGTCTGTGTTGACTAAATCATAAAAGAGTTGTTTTTCTTCTATTTAGGAGCTGGTTTCGAAAAGGTTGCTGCTAGAGATTTGGAAAAGGCAAATCTTTTTGCCCTGTGGGCCTGAGGGCACAATGACTTAGGATCTGTTAACCATTTTGAAGTAGCCAGTCAGTTCAACATAATAATAAGGGATAGGTTGGAAGGGAGTTAGTGGAATTGGGCCTCACATTTGCCCACTTCAGAGGGCACTGGATTTGACCAGAAGGCAGTGGTGGTGTCCTTAGCTGGAGTTATGGTTGTATGAGGCAATAGAGGGCCTTGTAACCCTCTCTGCTGCCCTGAAACCTGAGTCTTTATTTTCAGGTGTAGACCCTTTCCACGAAAGATTTAAGGTGATTCAAAGAGAGGCTGGAAGGAAAGCTTAAGTCCCTTGATTTTTTTTTTTAAAGATTTATTTATTTGTTTGTTTGTTTGTTTGTTTGTTTGTTTATACATACATACAAGCACTGGGTACAGTCAGAAGCGCGGGAGGGTGAGAGAATTCACCAGAGCCAGAGCGGGGAGCAGAGCAGGCAGAAGGACCGAAGTACACTGCTGAGGGGAGCAGCAGGCGGCAGGAGAGGTCTGCGCGCCATGCGGGACTCTCCTCTGGTGGCCGGGGAGCAGCCGGGGATGGAACCGGCGCTGCAGAGGCTGCGGGCAGTTTCGCAACCCTGTGCTCAACCACTACACCACCAGGGAGGCCCAAGTCCCTTGATATTTTATTGAATTCAGGTTCTCATCCAGCAGGGGACAGGAAGCAAAAGCATGCTACTCCCAAGGTAGAAGCTAGTGAAAATGGAGTAATAAAAGCTATAAAACTTATATTTATTGACAGCACTTACAGCAAGGCACTATGCTGAGGACTTTTAAATTTTAATTTCTATCATAAGTCATCAATATACCTAGTTAAAGGAGTCAAATATTTCTACAAAGTTTATTACCAAAGTCCAGTTGCCTCCCTGCCCTCCAGCCTGCAGTATTTGTTCCCCAGAGACATTGATGTGCATTACTTCGTTTAGTCCACTCAGCATACCACTTCTGCTTTTACAGTTGCTGGGACTTGAGTTACCCAGGTTCCCTGACTTGCCCCTAGGTCATGCAGCTAGGTTGTGAACAAAAGCAGCTCTTTGACTCTCATGCCTGGTGTACTACATTGCTTTCCAATTACAAATAATGTTCAGGTACACGTTTTTATCAACTGAGCTAACAGCTGTGGCCTAGGGCGAGCATGTTTTCTATAGTGTACATCTAAGGTTCAGATGAGCATCACGCTAATTATTGATCAAATAATTATGTGACTTCTCTGCTCTCCACAAGCTACTATGGAAGTTTGCCTAGTTTATTTTAAGGAACAGAATGAGGAAGGAGGAAAGTAGAGGGAGAGTGAGAGGAAACCAGATTGTGGAGAGTGTTGTGGTCCCTGTAGAGCTTTGACTTTTGCTCTGAGTGACACAGAGAATCATTAAAGGATCTTGAGCAGAGAGAGGTGTGAGTCTGACTTCATGTTAAAGGATTGCAGGCTCTCATGTGACGAATAAAAGGCAAGGATAGAAGTCGGGCACCAATGGAGACGTCGGTGCAGTAACAGAAGAAAGGAGGTGATCTGGGCGAGAGTGGTGGGAGTGAAGTTTGGAAGAGGATGTAAAAGAAAATAAAGGATAACACCAAGGTTTTTGGCCTGAGCAACTAGAAGGCTTAAAATACCATTAATAGAGAGGGAACGGCTATAGTAGAGGTGGGGAGATATCAGGAGTTCTGTTTCTAGGCACATTGGAGACTTTTGTAAGCATCCAAGTGAGAGATGTCCAGTAGACCGTTGTACATCCAGGTTGAATGTAGAATTTAGGAGAGACATCTGGGTGGAGATAGACAGTTGGGAATTGTGTGATATGGATAATCTGTGAGACTGGTTACACTGATGTGTAGAGCAAGGTTTCTCAGCCACCTGACTAAGACTGTAGACATTTAGGCCAGATAAGTCTTTTGGGGAGGGTGGGGGGAGTATCTTGTGCTTTATAAGATGTCTAACAGTCTTTGCCTGCTGGATGTCAGAAGTACCTCCCCAATCCTGACTGTAATAACTAAAAGTATTGGGTTGTTGGAAAAGTCATGACACATTATTTTCTGTTTTTCAAAGAAACAGCACTCTTGTCACTTTTGTACCTATACTTGTATTTAACAAAATAGTGAGGAAGTTATGTGACTTGCTCACATTTACGTGACTTGCTCACGTTCACACAGCAAACTGGAGGTGGACCATAGATTAGAACTCAGGGACCCAGTTTGAGTGTAATGTTCTGGACCACACTGTGATGAGGTTTGCTGGCAGAAGCAAAGTTTGTTGACTGTTCTCTGAAAGTAGTTTATACACTTCATGTCAGATTGTAGAGACCTCCTGTTCACCTTCAAGAGCTAATTAAAAAATTTGTGGCCATGGGCCTCCCTGGTGGGGCAAGGGGTTAAGTCTCAGTACCATGAAGCTTTGGCAGCCACTGCAGCACGAGTTTGATCCCTGGCCACAGAGCTAACCCACATGGCACAGCAGACCTCTCCTATCTCTCACACTGCTCCCCTCAGCAGTGTATTTCAGTAGATCTGCCTATTCTGCTTGCCACTCATCTCTGGTGAATCCTCTCACCTCTCTGCACCTCTGGCCTACACCACAGCTCTTGTATGCATAAATAAATAAGTCATTTTTTAAAACAAAAAATCTGTGACCAAGGAGGAAGCAGTGCAGAACAGCTGAGGAACCTGCATAATTCCCTGGCAGATTAGCATTTTCTGTACCTGAAGGACTGACTTGATAATGTGAGGACTCTCTTTTGAAAACCCAGCGGAGCCAGTAAAGTCCGCCTTACTTTGCTGTGTTTGCATTGGCATGGGTCATGCGTGCATTTTAAAAATAAATTAAGCAAACATTGTGAGCCTTAGAAAATGTCTTTTGTTATTTGTAACATTACTATCTGAGAATAAAAAGTATCCCCACGAACTCTTCTATTTGTACCGCAACAACTTCAAAGCTGTTGAGCTCCATTTTGTTTGCTTTGGGGCACTAAGCATTGTTTTAGACTGGTCCTGTGCTAGGCAGTCTTGTAGTGAAACACGGAGCATGTTCTCACATAGCCAGCTTATTGTATTTGGGTTGTATGGATGTATACTTTCCTGTATTCTGAAGTTAGCATTTCAATTTCTGATGAAAGTTCTCAAGTTAGACTAGTGAAATTACAGGTTCAAACACATAAGTGTAATTCAAAATTATGAGAATTTGTCTCCTGATATATATGCTCAGGTTTCAAACGCTTTGCTCTCATTGAGTCTGCTGGAACTGTATTCCAGTGGTGACAGGTGCACAATGTAAGATCAAGAGCTGTTGGGAAAACATGGGTTTCTTCAAGCTTAACTTTGAGACACTTTCCAAAGTTGTGGATGCTCACCTTGCAAAGGCTTGGGTTTTTAGATTTTTGCTGTGACTTCACTAGGCCAGTTTCAAGAGTCAGTTGAAACTGCTTTGCACGGATCACTTCAATATTATTTAGTCAGTAAGTGAGGCCTCCTAGGTGCTTGCTCAGCCTTTTGCTAACCCTTATCACCAAAAATTTTGCTCTCTGATTGCATAGATGTGACTAGGACATAGAAAGGAACAGAGCCAGTGAAGATGAAGTATACTGTGTTCCAGTGAACTTCAAAGTGATCATAGGAGTTTGGATAAAGGAGAAAACAATGAGGTTTGGAGTAACCAGGGAAGAGAAACCACATGCAGGAAGGCCGGGAGGTAACCACAGGTAGGGTGTGTTCATGGGCCTCTGGGCCAGCCTGACTGTGGTGAGTGAGGCATGCTTAAAGAGGGTGGGGCAAATTTTGGAGGAAGACCTTTGAGAGTCAAGCAAAAGAGAGCTCACCTTTAATATGAGCAGAAACAGAGTGCCAGCAAAGCTTTTGAGCAGGGGAATGGCAGGATGAAACCAAGTATGACTGAATGGGACCACAGAGAGACAATTTATTCTCCTCAGTCAGTCAAACATTTTGGGAGGGAGAAGGGG